CATTCATTGTTTTCAGGCAAAGTAGACAAGAGCTCCCAACCAAGAGGCTGTGGCAGTTTTCTGGTGTAAGCCTGTGATAGCAGTATTGAGACTGAGAGCTGAGAAAGTGACATTTGAAAGGCAAAGGAAGACTGTAATGGGTATTGTCTGCTGGGTTCTCCTGGAGCACTGTAAGCCTAAATTAGGAGACTCTCTGGGCTTTTAAATTAACAGGAAGTGGTAACCTGTGCTGATTTCCTCTTGGAAAGTGGGGAGGGCGGTTTATTTGGGGTAAAAGCGGTTAAATCCGGTCTGGTTTTAGAATTGATTTCATTCAGCCCCAAAGACATAGGTCTAATCTTATCGCTCAGAAAGCAACATTCACTGCTCCCTTCCTCTCTCCCCTTCATACAAGGCATAGAAAAGCCTCTTATGCTGGGGTGGAGTCCCAAGCTCCAGAGAAGGTCACATGTCACCGGAAACCAGTCTCTTTTTAAAGAGATTTTAAATCAAATTGAAAATTTGAAAAAAATAAAAACGCAGATTAAGTAAACCCTGGGGCTACCATTTTCCGATTCCTGCCCAAATCCTAAGAAGAAACCCTTAGTTGAAGATTTATAAATAATTTATTTACATTCAAAAAGTTGGTTTAAATGTGTACACCATACTATTCATTCAAGGCCTGTTACTGTTTTATATAACTCCAAGTTTCTTGCCACTTTAAGTGTGACCTATAAATCCTCCCTTTTCAGCCAAGAAAGCATATGTAATACAAGAATGGTATTATTAAAGAATTAATACAGGGCCACCTTCACCTTTCCTCCTCCTCTCCAGAGCCAAACTCTGAATGTGCCAACTGTATTAACTGCTTCTGTTTCCTTCCCTTTCAAGTGACTATAATTTGACTTCTGCCCAATTCGTCCACCTAAACCAGGTTCCTAGTAGCCTTCACTTTGCTCCACCTAATGATTTTGCTTCATGTGCATTTTCATGGCTGGATCAATATGCTGATGACTCCTAAATACATATTTTTTCAGCCCAACTCACTCCTGAGCAGTAAATACTTACAGTCAAAAATCTGTCTATAATATTCATTATGTGTTTAACATTTGTGCAGGCACTGGGCTAGGTGTAGGGGATATCAGGCGAGCATTACCTCCACCCATTACCATGCAGTGCCTCCAGCCAGAGAAAAATGTTACTTGTGTTACAAAGTGTTAACTAATCCCACAAATGTAAAAAACTGCAAATTTAACCCTTGCTACCAGAGCTTTAAGAGCCTCTAGTAATGGAATGTAACTGACTCAGAAAGGTCTGGAAAGCCCCGCAAGGAATCCTTAAGCAGAGATCTGGAGGATAAAAAAACTTACTACGGGAAGAAGGAATGAAGAACACCCAAGTTGAAAGTGAGTTCCAGGCAGAAAGTTCATCTCTGTGGAAGGAAGGAACAGGGTGCCCACAAAGAGAGCCAGAGCTGGAGACGAGACGTGGGGAGGGTGCTGCATTCAGCCAACAAGGCAGTGCCTTAGAAAGAGAGTTAAAGGTTAAGTTTCCCCAAACGGTACAAGCACGACTGTCATGTAGATGTAAAATGAACTTGCATAGTAGAGTTGATCTAACTCATTTAACGAAATTACCAGGTAGATGTTAAAACTGCTGTAAAAAAAAACCCTGGACATATTTCTGGGTCAGGAATAGTGGAACGAATTTGCTAATGGACCTGAAACTGGCTTCTTCCACGTAGAGAAGTTGGTTGCATCCTGACCTTCGGAATTGATTTGCATGTCTATTGACAAGAATGATTTTTGCATTTCTATCAGTTAGCTGTAAAAACCCCCGAACAATGAACCAATGTAAAAAACACAATGAAAGGTCCCAAGGAATCCTAAGGAGAAAAACTGTCAAAAGATTAAGATCAGGTAGGGAATGGGGGCGGGGAGTCGACAGGTTCGAAGTGCCCTCAGGCTGCAGGTTGGAGACAAGAGGAGAGCTTGGGTGGAGAGGAACTGGTTTCAAAGGAAGCTAATGAACAGAACCCGCAAAGGAGATGGTCCTGTTAGTGAGCTGGACTTGGCAGGTAGTAGGTGAAACAGAGGGAGAGAAGCCGTCAGATTTCAGCCGTCTTTAAACAGACCAGATACTAGAAGAAACAAGAGAGAGTGTGGGACCTCAAAAGGCTCCCTGGATTCTGACTTGCTCCTCTGGTTAGCGATTTTCACCAAGAAAAATGGAACACTGATGTTGTTTGAGGGGGTGAGCCAGAATCTGGTTTGGGGCATATTGAGCTTTGGGGTGCCTCTGAGACTGGCTGTTAGAGACACGCCTGTCTGAAGCTCAAATGAGAGGTCTGGAGTAGAAGTGAACCTTTGATGAGTCACTGGCATGTAGGTGGGAACTGAAGCTAAGGATGTAAATGACAGTGTCTAATCTGTGCCTTGGTTTTCTGTAAAATGGGACAATAGCCACAATTCTTGTTTGCCAATTGAGAGATTATCATAACATGTAAATTATTTACAGCCTTGCCTGGTAAATCTTAACCCTTTGATATAGGTAGATAATGATCGTTTATCCCAGTTGGCAAACGTTTTCTTAAGGAGCCAGATAGTAGATATTTTAGGCTTTGAGGGCCTCGTGGTGGTTTCTGCTCAAATCTATCATTGTATGGGAAAAGCAGCCATAGACAATATGTAAATGAATGGGCGTGGCCGTGCTCCCATAAAACTGTTTACAAAACTGGGACAGAGTGGGTTTGGCCTATGGGCTGTGGGTTATGGACCCATACTCTCTTCAGTTTCCCTAGCTAGAAACGTAATGGTCCTCCTTCAGACACAACCAATTGATCACCAACCTTCTAGCTCCGGATACCCCGACAGTCGCCACTTCTCCAGCCGTATTACCATTCCTGGTACCAGATAGCTTCCAAGCATCCTCTGCCTCCAGCCTTGCTTCCTGTTAAGCCATTCTTAGTGTGAAACCAGAGAAATTGTCTCAAAATGCAGATCTGAACACAGCTCTTCTTGGCTGAAAAAGCGTCAGGTTTTACATCCTCCTCATGACAAAATATTTTAGCAAGTTCTGCCACCTGTCCCTGGCTCTCAGGCTCACCTCTTGCTAGTCTGCCTCTGTCCAGCCACACCTGCAACTTAGTTCAGTCCTTTTTTGACATTGGCTGAAACACAGCTGGCCACCTGCCTGCAACTCTCCCCGCCACTGCCTGGCTCTCTCATCCTTCCTCTCTCCTTCACCTCCTTGGGGAGACATCCCTGGATGCTGTCTAGGCTGTTTTGGGTCCCTCTGCTGTTTATTTCTGTAGCATTCTTTCCACTTCAAAGTAATTGTCACACTTGATTCTAATTATTTGACTAACGTTGCTCTAATTTTTATGATGAGAAATTGTGTCTATCTTGTCCACCGAGCAGTCTCCCCTCGCCCCATGCCAGGCACACAATGGAGACTGTTGAACTGCAGCTCTCTAGTTTTTTAAGAGTATGTATTTATATACTTTGGAATTTTAACTGCCAAAGTTTACAAATACAACAGACTAAAAATGTCCTCGGACGCCACTCTACTGCAAGATCTAGGCTTCTTTCTCCACGAACTGTTCTCTCTGAATCTTTCTCCTTCCTTTTCCCCTTCTTGTCACTATTCCCTCTCCTCCCTTAGCCAGCCATCATATGGGCTTTCAATGTTATGCCTGTTAAGGGACTGGACCAGTGCTTTCCAACAGAACTTTCTGCAATGATGGAAGTGTTCTGTAGTGATGCTAAGCGTACGCTGTAACTGGCCTGGCGGCTTCTTCTTCCTTCCTCTTGGAAGGTTCTTGGGAAGCCCCCACTTAGAACCCAGCCGCCATGCTGTAAGAAGCCCAAACCTCAGGGAGAGGCCATGTGCAGGCTCACCAGTCAACAGTCCCAGGTGAGCTCTCAGCCAACATCCTGCATCAACTGCCAGCCGTGTGAGTCCTCATCTCGAACAGCCTGCCCTGCTGAGCTTTCAGGTGACTGAGGGACCCCAGGTTAAAGCCACTCTGCTGAGCCCAGCGAATCTA